TGTAGTTATCAATACCTTTATTTATTTATTTATTTATTTATTTATTTATTTATTTTTACCTGGTGCTGAGGATTGAACCCAGGACCTGGTACTTTCTAGGCCAGCACTCAACTGCTGAACCACAACCCCAGCACCCAACCCAAGTCCCTTTAATGTTTGTTTCTATTTTATTTTGTTTTTCTAATGTGTTTAAACCATTAAAGTATGTGATATACCATTTTAAGAATGAAAAACTTTTGTGAGACCAGTTTGTAGATATGATCTTTTTGGGAAAATTTCTACTCACCAGATGAGAATCAAGGCAATTTTCTTTGAAGAATCTATAATAAAGATAGTGTTTGGATTACTCATGGTTTTCCTTTATTCTTATTTTGAACCCTTTCAGGCACCAGCTTAATAAGGGAAGGACTCTTGTTACACTGATTTAAATGGACTCAGACTTTTCTTGTCTCACAGTGCTGGGGTCAGAACTGGGTCTTGTATATGCTAAGCAACCTAATATATATATATATATATATATATATATATATACACACACACACACACACATATACATACATATACATATATATATATTTTTGAGACAGTGTCACACTAAGTTGCTGATCAAACTCATAATATTCCTGCTTCAGCCCCTCAAACTAGTTGGCATTATAAGTATGTGCCACCAGGTTAAACTTTCATTTTTACCTGTCTTATGAAACCATCAATATTGAAATCCAAATTTGACCTGATAGATATATAATCTCAGAATGAATTGGCATTAGTACTCTGCTTTCCACCCTTCCAGCTTTCCATTAGATTTTGGCCTGGTAATTACTTGCTATCTTGTTGTGTCTTCATTTTTCTAAAGAAATGCTTTTGTTTTCTATTTTATCTAGCATTTTATCTCTCAGAAGAGTTGCTCGGTTGCTATTTTGAAATTTCAACTATTTCACTAAAGAACACCTTTTATGCTACCCAGATGTGATCCTAAAACTAGTTAACATGAAAATTTTACTGTCAATCTCCTGGGGAAAGTAGCCGATCAAAATCTAAACATGAAGTAGTTCATGTATTGTTTGGGAATATTCTGTAGCCTTATTCACATCTCAGCCTAAATAACAATTAGACAGGAAAACATCACAAAAAGATGTCCAAAACTTCATTTATAAAGACCTTCAAGTTGTCAAATATATATGATATCCTTGGAAGTTAAATTTAGCACTTAGAGCTCCAATTTCTCTCTGAAATATGTAAAAACTCATCTAGCCTGACAGTTCCCTGTTGGCTGTACCTCTGAGAAGTCAATTATTCTCACCAAAGCCAATTTTAATTTGTGCACCCTACATTGCTCCTGGATTTCTATGTGATTTTTAAATAGAAGGTATAATATCAAATTTAAGGACTAACTTGTGGTTTTCTGGACAGCAAGACAAAAACCTGACCCTGAATAACCAAATTATCTTAGGAACCACATGTATGGATTACAAGATATTTTTGACTAGAAAATAAGCACAAGATCAAGTGTCATCCGTTATTTTATCTCCAGGGCTTAGAGTAGCACTGGGACAGGCACACTGTATGACAATCAAGAAAGGTTGAATAAATTAATTAACCTGTGGTAGATTGATTGCAAAAAATGGCACTAATTCCTCACAGCCTCCCTGTGTTTTTATACTTTGACTTGATAGATCCTGCCACCAAGAAATGCTGTTTCTACCCTTGAATTTGGGTTGGCTTTCAGATATATTCTGGCTCATAGAATGGGAGTACTCCATTATTCCAGTCCCCAGATCACTCCTTTCTCTTTTGGAACCTTATAATCAACATGAGGACAGTCCTATTCTGGGGGTGAGAAACCTTATGAAGGAGAATTGACCTCATTTTCCTAGCTGATGCAGATATGTAACGGAGCACAACCAAGAATACCTAAGGCATTTGGAAAACCAGCAGCTCACCATGGATACATAAGTGAGCCTAGCTTAAGTAGCTGGACAAACAATAGAACTATTCAATACAGAAATGTAAGAGTACAAATAAATGTTTTATTCTCTCAAGTCAGTAAGTTTTGGGGTCACTTGTTATATGGCAGTGACTGATTGGTGGAAAATTTTCGTTACAATTCTTCCTGAGGGATTTTTAGAGAAAAGGACTTCCTGTTGGAAATCAGAAGTCCTCAATTTTAGTTTATTCTCTCTCCTGAGCTTGCTTATCTTGTATAAAATACTTCATTGTGCTTTAAAAGATCTGAGGTTCCTTTAAGTTCTAATATAATATATAGCATCTCCCCAAATGCTTTATTTTACCACCCCTCCTAATAAATAGAGACAAAAAGCTGTCTGTTTATTTATTTATTTATTGGCAGGTTGAGCATTTCCTGATTTTCCAAGAAATCTGTTTGTACATCAAGTATTGTAAATTCTAGAAAGTTGAACTGATGTGTTCTTACTCTTAAGCCATCACTAAAATATGATTTTAGAATAAATCCTTATTGAAAGTTTTGTGTGATTTTTGTTTTCTTTTGTTTTGCCACTTTATTCTCAGAGTAGAATTCAAACAAACAAAATTTATTAAAATAAACTTCCTTGTTAATCAAGGATTCCTGGGTACTCTCTACTCCATCAACATCCAAAAGAGAAACACAAAACAGAGATTTAATAATGCAATCAAAGTACCACTTTAAAAAAGTACCACTTCAATATTCATCTGTTTTTTTGCCAGTTGGTTCTATTATTGGAGTAGAGATCACTATACCTCAGGAGTTCTCAATTCTGAAAAGTATAATGGATTCACGTATTTGAAGGTATTTAACACACATTTTGGGTTTATATGGGGAATTCCAGTGATTTTTAATATATGGGATTGGGGACCTCTTTGAGGATGTGATGAAAACTAGGAACACATGATTTAGAAAATCACACATCTATACACATTCACATAGTGAGTTTTTTTCATACCTTTGCCTTGTCAACAACTTGCAAACACTGTTCATATTACTGGGGATTTTTCTACCTTGTTAATCTGTGCATCCACAGACACAAAAAATTCACTTTCCATAGTTGCAACTCAGACACAGACACATGGCTTAGGATAAAACATTTAAGTGCATATGTGTGAGACATCGACTTGGAAGAAAGTGACATTCAGAGGCGGGCACTGTCCAGATCCACTCTGACTAGATGGAGGTAGATACAGTGAGATTTCCGAGATGGTTGAGGGCAGAGATTCTGGTACATTGTGCTTCTGAGCAGCTGGGTGAGGTGCGATGTCTGCTCAGGAGCATCAGGGTCTTCTCTGAACAGTATGCAGTATAATTTGGGAGTTGCTTCTAATTGTGTAGCTCCCAAGCCTGAGTCTCAGAGTGCTTTAGAGATGCTGTGAGCTACCCAGTGTCCTTCAATTACTGTTTAAGCTCTGTAACAAAGAACTCTTGACAGATACCTAAAAAATAGACTTTTCATATTATTCCAAGATTTTATGAGAATTTCTATAGACCATACATGACTTATTTCTCTTAGAATACACAGGTACTATCACATTATAGATGGAGAGGTAAAATGTAATAAAAAATGGAGTCACTTAGAGCCTCTTGGGACTGAAGAATTAATGGGTATGCAGTCTTGGCTTGGCAGCTAACTACTCTGTCTGAATAGGATTGTCACCTATTAAATAGGTGTCACTTCTAAGTGTAAATCAAACAAGATACCCCAAGCCATATAAAAGAAGTCCCTCTTCCCAGAGATCACATATTGTGAGCAAGCCTAGATCACGTGAAGAAGCCACATGAGATGCTCCAGTTCAGCCACACAGAAAACCTATATCAAGTGCCAGACACTGCCCAGGATAGGAGGTATCAACTAGGATTGTCCCAGGCCAAACTAATGCATGCTCATCCTTTTCAGGATCCACTCTAAGTTAAGCACTTGGGCTCCTTTTTACTTTTGTGGGTTTCCTTCAAATGAGTTGTGAGTCATTGAGCTAGTAAATGTAATGAACCTCAGTGCTCCAAGGATAAGGGAAGTAATCATGAGACAACTGAATATGTGTAAAAGAATGTGTCAGGGACAGTAGCAAATGGAAAAGCACATACTCAGTCCAGAGGGAACCAATACTTAGCTCCCATATTTATGATCACAGATAAATACAGGCTTAGCATTTCCTGATAGTTTTTTTTCCAAAATAAGTTAAAAATATGAAAATTTCAAATTCCATTCAAAACTTTTAAGACTGTTTTATAAAAGTAGTCCCTTTGGATGACAGAATTTCAATTAGCTCTCAGGCCCAAATCAATTAATGCAAATAACTTGCATTATGAAAATGCCTTCCTTGTGTACCTGCTAATCCTGGCTCTCTGATAGACTCACTTTGGGTTAAGCTGTCATATTCTTTATAGGAAATCCCAATGTATTACCAGACACTCTGCATCAGAATTTCAGATTGAAGCTAATTAAAGGTTTCTTTCTATACTTTGTCTGAAAGAGTTTAAAATTATCGTCTTTATTTACATAGATGTCCACCAGGTGTGGAAAAAGAAAAACATACAAATCATTAAGTCCAGGTATTAGTCAGTTGCTGTTGTAATAATGCTATGTAACAAACATCCAAGTAACATAACAATAAGCATTAATAATGTCACAATCACAGGGGTCTGGAAGTTGGCAAATCTAGGCTGGGCTTAGCTAAATGGCTCTCCTTTAGGCTGTGGGGCAGCTAAATGAGGAATTGAATTCAATTATTCTCCTCTTGTATTTTTACTGAAACTTGGGGAGAAGAAGCTGCATCTACCCAACAGCAGTTCCTTGCAGGGCACATCTCAAGAGTGTAAGGAGCAAGCCTAACTTCCCAGAATTCAATTAAGGCTTCTGCTCACCTTACATCTGTTAACAGTTCATTGGCTAAAGCAAGTCTCATGGCCAAATCTAAACTCAAAAAGACCAGGAAGTCAATTCCACATGACGGTAAGGAGAACAAATTGAATACTTATTGAAATTAATCCCAACCCTCATACCCCAGCTGTCTTTTTTTTTTTTTTAAGCTGTGTTTTTTTTTCTAAATAATCCCCCACACAAACTCTCTCCCAGGCCTCACTGACTCCCTGTGGAGCTGCCGGGTTCTGGGACCTTACCACAAGTGGATTTTGGCCTGCTGTGAAGGAGACACGTGGTGAGTGGCAGCAGATGCTGAAGACTTGGAACTCTCAGAACAAGTGCTCTAAATTAGGAACAAAGCATTCCATGGGCTACGTCAAAACTTTAAAAATAAGCATTTGCTCCATACACAGCTAATGACCTTGCTGAAGACATTCAAAATGCCTCATTTAAGATGTTTAAGTAATTACTCAGGAGCAGTGACCATGAGGTTTTTCCATCCCATCTGTGCCCTGCCTCTGAGGCCTGTCTTTCCCCTGGTTGTCTTGGGTCCCTGTTCCCATGCAAAGGGCTCTGCATGGAGCACAATCCTTGGGCCAGTTCTGCAGTTGTGACAAGTGCAGTTGTACTACTTCACAGACACGTGAACAGATGGCAACTTAATGTAAAAAGTCTGTAAGTAAAGGGTGCCTTTGAGTGATTTCTTTGCTTTATTTTCTCTGCTCTTTTAATGATTTCTAAGGAGAGAGAAAACAACCATTGTCACAGTGAGTATTTCTTTAAGGTTGAGTCCAAGCACACTAGAGAACAATGGACATCCTCTTGTGCCTTCCTACCACAACTCTTATAAATTGTCCATTTTTGAAAGAATCATGTGTCAAGGTAATCCTGTTGCCATTTCAAGCTTAAGTTATGACAAACTCCACATATTACCTAATATTTTCTAGTAGATCCAAGAAAAACCTCTACGGAAAATGTGGAAAATAGATATCAGTCAGAACTGGACTGACAGATCAGAATGGACCCAAAGATTCTTTGATTCTTTATTATCTGTGTAATTCACACATAATTGAACTGGGTAATGTCCATTCTTGGTACCTGGCCATATTCCAAAGAAATACAAGTCTCTCATCAAACAGAAAAACAAAAATAAATTAATTGAAATCTTCCAGGAAGACTCAAAGAAATGTCAAAAATAGGGACACTCATTTATTTGTTTGTTTTGTATAATGTGACAGACTTCTCATCCCTAACTTCTCAAAGTTCTCTAGACCATGGAAGCTGTTAACAAAATTGATTCCTTCCAATTTTTTTTTTCAATTTGTTTCTCCAAATTTATTTTTAAGTGGGACATAAACAGATAAACAGGTTATACCCTGGAAGGTACAGGATCAGTGACTGTTATACATCAGCAGAATGTGTGCCATGGGTAAACTTGCTTCAATTTCCACACATCAGATGGGCATTGGCTTGTACATCAGGCGTAGAGTCACCCTGGCCAGGAATTGTATCCAAAGCTATGCTCAGTGGTTCAAAAACAGAACTGAGGCTAAAGACTTTAGTTCAAATCTCAGTCCCATGACTAGTTAGCTGTTTGAACTTGGACAAGTTACTTTGTTTTTATGAACCTATTTCCTATGATATAAGGATAAAATTCACTACTTCAAAGTGTTATTGCACAGGGCTGGGGATGTGGCTCAAGCGGTAGCGCGCTCGCCTGGCATGCGTGCGGCCCGGGTTCGATCCTCAGCACCACATACAAACAAAGGTGTT